TCTCTTCACTCTCTAGCCTTAACTAGGTCACGAAACCCCGTCTCACAGCCGCCTATCTGATTAAATCAAAGGATAAGTCTATGTTTTGCAAGTTTTGTGCAATATTCTAGCCATAATTGAATCAAAAATTTTTTGAATCAAGTTGGTTTTTACTACTCTACAAACGCATAAATGGATCTGCTTAAGGCAGACCATTTCCGTTTGTAGATTCTAGAAAACTGAATAAGTTAGGTTTCACCCTATTGTCTGGTTCGACAGATTTTCGCGCTATTCATGCTTCCAATTATTCTATGATTTTTTTTGGTAAGTGAAAAACGTGGAAAAAAACAAAAACAACCTCTGAAAAACGTACCAATATCTTCAGGGGAAGTGGGATAATTTCCCTTCAAAGATAATGATAAAACTGAGGGTAGGAAGATTCGCGTGACTGTAATGCTCTCAGGGGATCCATACAGGACCGCCGTCGCGCGAGTTACCTGTAGCGATCTAAATAAGCTGAGGGGTGAAAATGAGCCGGTGCGGCGACTGGATACAGGAGACCATCTATCAAAAATGTTGATACCATGGCGTTAATTTCTTGCTAGATTTTTATCAAAGAAACCCAATGACAACTCGGAGAGACCTTGCGTTCTTTTTGAGCATTCTGTCAAATCTCGTGCTTTTTTAATAAGTCGAAATTGAAGCCCGTATTTTTTCTATAACCAATGAGCTCCTTCCAGGAAACCGCCATAAACATCGCGTATTCATGTCGGCTGCTGACGGACGAGATGAAAGAGATCGTGGTGATCGACGGTCAGACGCAGACCGAAGTGGAAGTGCAGCTGAAGGACACGAAGACGACGTTCGACCGAATCCTGCACACCGCGGTGAGCTCGCGCCTTGACCCGGAGGCTCGGAGGCACTTCTACCGCTTCTTTTCCTCTTGTTTTCTTTTCCTCTCGTGTTTCCACTGTTAAATGCGGCCTTTTTCGGTTAGCGACGACCTCGTCAGCTCGTTAAAGACAGGAGTGTAGATGAGTACATTCAGCGAATTATAGCCAGCCTAGAGGAGAGAGAAATGGTACTGATCCAATGTCTCTCGTCTTCTCTTCGTGTTCTCATTTCGTCTCTGTTCGCCCTAATTCAAAGCTTGCAAACAATGCGCATAACACAAGATTTAGTTGCTTTTGGCAGGGTTCCTGTCTGGGTCGGAGATCTCTTTGCATTGTAGATCTTTTCCTCAC